CATTTCTTTGTCCATAAGGACTTTAATATGTACACACACTGGTTATCTTCCAGGCACTGTGCTAGGTGCTAGGTGTTGAGAACAAGACATTGTCCCTGCCTTCCAGGTGTTTCAGCATGTTGAGAAAGATAACTGTAAGTTATTTCAATGAGAATTAGCAAAAATTGTCCAAGCAAAGAAGGGTCCATGTATCCCAAGTAGAGGGGACACCTTTTCTAAATATAAAGACACAGGTGAGCCTTCACAGAGGTAGCAGGAGAGTAATAACCCTTCTGGAGTGACAAGTAGAAAACAGGCATCAGCGAGTGACACACAGACTAGATGGCAGGTCATGGAGGTCCCGTTGGCTTGCTCAGGATGTCTCATAAGCATGGAATGGGGTCAGTTGTGTTTTAGACCCCTCAGCTGATTAACCTAGAGGCTGAACTCCATCAGTGGTTGGTGCCTTAGCCCAGGATCTCTAGAAAACAGAGCTGGAGGCAAGGATTAAATGCTGGTGCTTTGTTGAGAAGCACGATCCATGACATCATTGAAGGTGATCTGTTGTTAGGGGCTGCTCACTATTTTCTGTGTCTCCAGGGCATGGCTGGTTGCCTGGCATGCCGTGTGTGGACAGGCTACATGGAGTGTCACATTTTACAACAGTCTGAAGAGAAAGAGGGTATGGGAACTTGTCCTCCCATCTCCTATTCCATTGATCGCATCCTTCTCCCAGGAGAGAATTTCTGTATTGTTTCATCTGGCTTCGGTGGCTCTTGATCTGGGAGCCAGACTTTATCCCCAGTGTGACCTTGCACCCATGTGCAGAAGTGGTCTTGGCAGCTAGAAACTCCAGGCATGTGGCAGCTAGGCTGGACAAACTGGCCACCGAGGACAGAGCCCACCCCTTTGGCTGAATGAGAGACCCACCCACCCTCAGTAGACCCATGAGGACCCAAGCAGTCAGTTGGTCCTAGTGGGGGGATGGACAGCAGGCCTCCAGGGAGGCCCAGCAGAGCAGCTGAGGCAGGGCAGAGCTAAGAGCCCAGGTGACCATGGCTCCAAAAGAATCTAGGGCAGTGGTTCTCAACCTTCCTAATGCTACAATGTATTTTCATCATTACAAAGGGGTCACAACTCACAGGTTGAGAACCGCTGACCTAGGGAGTACATAAGGTGTGTCAGGTAAGTTTTCAAATGACACACGTGGAACCCCTGATATACCAAAGATGTAAGGGAACCAAAGAGGAGAGTCTATACCCTCTTCTCTCACACTTGCTCCCATAGGCCTTTGAGGCACACCCCAGAGCTCCTTGCACTGTGACTTGAGACTAGATTAGATTAGATGCCTCTCACACTAACGTCCAGCCTTCTAAAAAAAAATGATATTTCATTCCTATAAGATGAACTTGTTCTTATAGTTTTCTGGTTTGTGGAATTCTAAAGAAATCGTAAACAGGGCGAGAGTTAACAAATTATTGAAATTGGGATTACTGACAATTAAAGGTTCATCTAGTTCAATTAACTCATAATTGCAGGCAAAAAAACCTAAAATTCAAGAGGATGAATTATCTTGAAAAATGTCATATAACCAATTAGTAAAAGATACAGGTCCAGAATCAAAGGAATCAGACTCCCAATCCTGAGATCTTTTCTCTGTGTCTGGGTCTGGGAATGTGAAGCTGTGAACAGATTTTTAGAGTTCATAAATTTGTTTCAGTTTTTTTTTCAATTTTTATTTTTACTTTGATAACAATATAAAACTGCCAATGTGTGCCTGTTCTGGACCATCCAGATGACCAGTTAGTACTTCCATATTAAAAGTATAGAGAATCCTTCCTTTGTTCACCATGTAGAAGTATATAGGTGAGCCAAATACAGAAAAGTCTGCCTCTCCGGGTTAGTACCGTGTTCATCTCGTAACAGACCACGTCGCACAGCTCCATCTCTGTGTGTGTCTGTTCCAAAGCTATAGAGGTAGCACATGTCCTTTTCTTCACCCAATTCCAGTAATAATTTGATCTGATACTCATCGGTGAACTTTGTCTTCAAGTTTATAAGACATTTTTGCTTTGTTATTGGTGACACTTCATTAAAAATGGCATGTTACTCCTAAGCAGAACTTTTAGAAGAATCAACAATCTACATAACCTCAACAAAGAACTATGAAGTGATTTAATAGTTTCGTGTCCAATATGTTTATGTAAACAGGCATTCTCCACATTGGAATTATTAAAGTCAAAATTCTGAAACATTAACGTAGCACAGAACCTGAGATTATCTATTTCTGTGACTATATCCAATATTGAAATTTTAGGTACAATGGAAAAGTATAATCTTCCCTCTAAATTTATATTGCTAACTTAAATTTTTAGCCTCATAATTTTCAAAATTCATTTTGTAAATTTCTCTTAATCAAATTCTAAGAGCAATAACTTACAACTTTCTTCCCTAATTTATGTGTACTTAAAAAGCATAAAATAACAATTCCACACGTAGAAGCTGAGATAACTTTTTTTTTTTTTGCAGTTTTTGGCCAGGGCCGGGTTTGAACCTGCAACCTCCAGTATATGAGGCCTCTTTTGAGCCACAGGTGCTTCCCTGAGATAATTTTTTGTACTTGTATCTGTACTTGTTTTTAATGGAACTGCTACCAGCACAGACTTCCTCCTGGGAGGCACAGTTACTTAATGACAGGATGGTAAAGAAAAGGCCTAGGTCTTAGACCCTAGAGTTCCAGATTCAGGTCCTGCCTGTGTTGATAACAACCTCTGTGTTCAGTCAAGGAACTTCTCTGGCCCTCAGTTTTCCCATTTGTAAATTAAGGAGATTGCAAGGATCACAAATCTTTATGCATATTGGTACTTAGTAATTCAGTGAAAGGGCCAGCTGTAAATAATAGGCAGTAATGGAAACAATTCAGAGATATTTGTCCTGAACCTACAGTTACTGAGATTCAAAACTATTTTTGAGCACTCCAAGCAAAACCAGCAAATCTGTGGATCAGATTCCTCTGAAAGTTGCTAGTTTGCAATTCCTAAACCATATAATCTTTAGAGTACCGTCCCAACTCTATAGCATCAAGTGCAGTGACTATTATAAGTGAAGAGATGCCGGCATCTATGCAGCGTGCAGAGTGGTGGAGGCACAGCAGGAAATCTCCAGCAGGCTTTGATATGTTTAGTGTTTTATAGAGTAAGAATGCTGAAGCTGCATATAAAAGAATAAAGCAAGGAAGACTGGGACGTGCAGGGTCAACATGAGAGAATGAAAAAAGAGGGAGAAAAAGCAAGTGAAAGACCCTTCTTGGTTCCAACTGTATCCAACAAAAAATACTTTCTGAATTATTGGCCCTGTTCAGTTCTCTAGTATTATACTCTCAATCCAAGCCAAAGGTTCATTCCCATTAAATAAACTACAGGCCGGCACTGTGCCAGGAGCGTGAAAGTTCTCTAAAATATCATGTTCAAAATGGATGTTTTTCACAGCTGTATTTTTGCCCTCAATTTATTCCAGGTGTTATAGATAAGAACTTAATCCCAATTAAAATGAGAATATTAGATAGGGATTTGATAGCTTTTTTCATCCTCTAGATCAGTGCTTTCAGCCTTTTTTATATCATGGCACACTTGAACCTATAGTTAAACTTCCAGAAGTTAAAACAACAAGTACTAAAGTTTAACAAGTACAGATATTGGTTCTCAAACCGACTAGTATCCGTACTTGTTTTTAGTACTTCCAACTTAAACTATGTTGATAAGAAAAAGAGCAAAAAACAAGCATACTCACTGTGCTTTGAATTTCTTCAGGAAATAATTTAATTAATGATCTTCGAAATTTTTCACAGCACACCTAAGATCCTCTCATGGCACACCCCATTGAAAATCACTGCTTTAAAAGCTCAGGAGACAGCATGAGAGTATCATATCAAAAGACACTGTGTTAGCAGAAACTAAGTTATTCACTGTACCTCCTAACTTCGGGAGGTGTCTCCGAGACTAGGCGCAGACTCTCCCTTCTCACTTTTCCAGGAGCAAGTGCAGACTTTCTGCCACTGAGCAGTGCCGTGTCTGTTCATTTTTACTTCTTGTGTCAATATTGCTCTTCATCGCCTTTGTGTCTGGTCCCAGACGAGGCAAAAATAGGAGATAAGTGTTGGTCTTTGGTTCTACTTCTAAAATCACTCATGCTAAAGAGATGTTGAACCCAGCTACAAGCTTCAAGGCCCCATTCCTAGGAGTCCCATGTAAAGCGCAGCCTCAAACCCCAGACAGACTGAGAGAGGCGTGAAGAGCAGGAGCCTCAGCCGGCCCGCTGACCGCCCGCTGACCGCCCCCCGTCCGCACTGTCATCTTAGACCCGCAGATTCCCTGCTGTCAACACCATTCGTTCTTGGTCACCCCCTTTCTCTCCTCTATTAGCCTCCTGGTCATCACATCACCTTTCTCTTCAAATCAATTGACATTTTTATGAAAAATGCTGCCGAGGTACTGCTCGGGGAGGGCAGACTGCGGGCTGGGCAGCCCGGCTGCGGTGGCTCCAGCCCGGTCGCCGTGCTCGGCTCCGAGTTCGGGGATTTGGTGTGTTTATTTAGATTCGTGCAGTGCACTGTGAACAAACTGCCATGGTTTTAAAACTGCCAAGCGTGTGGCAGCGCTATGGTCTGTATGTGATTGCTTAACACGGTTTCTAATGGGGGAAGCACCCATTGTCATAAAGGAACCCGACGGTTTCGAGGGCCACCTGTTCTGCGCTGGGGGTCCCGAGTCCCCACCGCTGTCAGCAGACGGTGACGTGGACTGCAGTCAAATCTCAGGCAAGTCGTTTGCACCATATAAGCAATAAGGGATTATAGACTTTGAGATCATGAGTGTGTAAATTGTGCTCAGAAGCTGCCTGGAACGCCGTACCCGCCAGGGGACCGAATGGCGCTCCGACTGATGCATTTTTTCCATAGCTCTGCGCCTCTGCTGCATATGGCCCCAGAGAAAGCCGCGCTGATTGGAAACGTTTGTTCGCAGGTGCCAGGTGGACCTGTCGGCGCTCAGCAGGGAGCAGACGCACAAGCTGGAGCTGCAGCTGGAGGAGGGCGCGGGGCACCTGGTGCTGCTGGTGACCCTGACGGCCTCGGCCTCGGTCAGCGTCGCCGACCTGTCCCTCAGCGCCCTGGAGGACCAGACGGAGCGCGAGCAGATCCTGAGGAGATACGTACGTATGGAGCCCTCTGGAGCCCCGTGTGACTGGTGATCGTCCACCTGGTGTGACACGGGTGTGTCTGGGCCGCTGTGTGACGGGGAATCAGGAGAAGGCCGGAGCTGGGCCAGGGCAGATGCCACTCAGCCCTTGGCCCGACCCAACCTGCGCCTGGAGACCTGGTTTCTCCTGGGCTCGGAGGCTGGGACCCTGCCTGCCCAGCAGGAAGGGCAAGTTTGCACAGCATTACTTAAAATGACTTCACGAAGTCGTGTAACTGAAGATTTCCACGTCTCTCCAAGTTCAAGATGTCGTTAATGGCACTTAGGTTAGTTGGGAGGTGGGTCACCAGTGAGTAGTCGCAGAGAAGTGATTTTATTTACCACGGCCCGGGAGGGCCTCTCGTCATTCCTTTAATTTTTTTTCATTCAGTGTGAAGTAAAATGAAAAGGAAGCTTCGGTCCCTTTTGATCTAACGTGGAGTGATGGGAATAGTGAGTCAGTGAAATAACCCCGTCCTCGAATTCCACCGCACCCACTGTCCCCAGGCACAGTGCCTGGGTCCCTGCAGTTTTCCCGACTGGGCAGGCAGGGGAGCTCTGACTCCACCGTTCTCTCTCCGTGGAGGCTTGAAAAAGTAAATGCCTCAGCGCCCACGAAGCTGGGAAAAAGGCTTTTCCACTTAAAATTACAAAGCTTGTATTGTACAATGCTGCCAGGTGCTTAGAAGGCTCCTCTGGACACTCAGCCATGAAACCAAGCTCTGACTAACAAAGAACTGCCTTTTTTTTTTTTAGATTTAAAATTTCCTATTTGCTGACTGACATCCCTTTCAATAACTGAATTTAATAAAGATGTACCTTATCAGGCTGTGCAGATAACATGAAGTGCTGGTACTAATGCTCTACAATATTCTTCAAACAGATTAGCAGGACGGGTGCTTCAGCAAATTTATTCTGCCTATCTCCACTGAATCAGCTGTCCGCTAATGCTTGTACAACTCATCTACCAATGGTGTTATCATAAACAGCTTAATAGAGGTGACTTAGCAAGGCTAAATAGTATATATTTTTAAACCACCTAAGATCCTAAGGTATTGTGTGGCATCTACTAATGTAAGTTGCAATTATAAAGATTATTTCGTATTTTGCTACCTGCCAAAACATATTCTCCTGTTACCAGAAGTAAGCCTCATGAATTAAAATAATTTTAGAGGCATTAATCCATATTAATACAAAAATTATTCTAGGAATTATAATACTGTAGTTGATGGATTAATGTTGTGATATTATCCCACATATTAAGATGATATTGCTGCCTGAGTAATTAGAAGTAATCTACCCATTATTGATTTTTTTTTTTTTTTTTTTTTTTTTTTTTTTGCTGGATGGACTTCCTTAAATCAGCTATTTTCAGTCAGAATTTGAATATTTGTTTCCACACTTTCTTTCAAATGTTAGTTATTTCAATAAGATGTAAAATACTATGTGAATGTTTAAGCTACTTCTCAGATTATATTTTGCTCAATATATTTAAAAGTGAACTGTTTTTTCAGCCCTGAATTTCAGGCAGAGGCCTCTGCCTCCCTCTAGAGACATAACTCGCTAACAGACGACTATATGTGACATAGCACACGTGCTGTTGATAACTCAGAGCAGTACAAGGGGACAGACTTCTGTTTTAGGGCTTCTGTGTGTTTCTTTTTATTATGCAGATTATGAAAATAATGAATAAATGCCATATCAGTCTGAAGTGTGATTTGGAGAGACATGGAAAAGACGTTACTCCTTTGAAGAATTATTTATATGCTTTCCTATAAGGACATGTGTATTTTTAGGAGTTGAGGTCAAACTTAAGAATTTGATCTGGCATCAGTCATGATCAGGAAAGTGAATGAATTGGCCCTGCTCTGCTGTGAAACAGCCCTGGAAAAGCTCTCTGCTGCTGTCGGGGAGCAGTTCATTGCTAAGCATTGAAGCTCCACAAATTAAATGGGCATTACTGTGTGAGCCATTATTTGATCACCACGTCCTAAGAAGATGGTTAATTCCATTTTTCTTTCTTTCTTCTTTCAGGGGAGGACAGAAGGGAAGGTCAGTAGGGGCAGGTAGTAATGGGTAGCAGACCAAGAGCGATTATATGACCTTTTCAGAACGGGTGTGTGGAACCCTTGCTCCCCCTTGTCACAGTTTAAAAACCAGAGGAGCTAGTTTAGAGAAGAAGTTGTTAGCATTCCATTTTTATTATGACATTTCACAGTCATCTGATTTAATGTCCCTTGACCGGATTGTCCACCGTGAGACGATGGGCTTGAAATGTTATTTAGAGCATTGATAAAAGGTGAGCGGTTCTAAGATGACAGCGAGTCATAAGGCTGGTGGTGTGACATTAATTTTCTCCATAACAGAGATGGAATAAGACGTCATGGTGACAAGCTGTCAATCAGCTCTGGCCCCTCAGAGCATCTCGATGCCATAGTATAGGGTATTGCCTCTCCCGTAATAGAGCTGAACTGAGATGCTCTCCCTGACAGCTGCTGCAGCCATAGAGAAAATATATTATACAGCCTTTCATTAAAAAAATAAAGAGGACTCCTCTCCAGAGCATTTCAATCTTTTCCCATCTATTGAGGGCTGAAAGGATTCACAGCAAATCATAGATTCCTCTGCTATGGAAATTTCGGGCTTCAGAAGCCACCGGGTTTTCAGGCCTTCTAAAATAACCACAAATACAAGGCGGGAATACCTCTTGATTAAACATTACTTAAAGTTATATTTTTTTAACTGATGTATTTATTTGCTTTTTTTGGTGTTCTCATTATAACCTGCATGCCACTGGCCTACACAGTTGAAATTTGCAATAAATTACTGAGTGTCAGCTGACTTGGGGAAATGCAACCTTCAAACAATAATCACCCTCCAAATGGGGAGCAGAGCGCCAGAGCTGAGGTGCTGGAAGGCAGCGTGCTCGTGAATGAGGCTGCTAGTGGGAAATGATTCTCAGACGTGAGGACTGTGGTATTTTTTTTTGTCACAGCGAAACTTGGTTTAAATTACTCCTGAAAATTAAAGCACAGGAACCTTTCCAGTAACCCTAGTTCACCATCATTAGAGTAGGGGTCTTACCTAGTTTATAACTTTGAGTAGGCTCTGAGATAAGAAGTTTCCCAAACTCGATGTCACCGCAGGAATATAACATGCCTACACACCTCTGAATTGTAAGACTACTGTCAAAAGCCCCTACTATTAAACCCTTAACTTAGAGGCATTTAAATAAGAGAGGAGCACGTTTTTTACTAAGCCCTGTCATCTAGGTATTTTTAACAGATTTTTAGTGATAAACAACTGTTTAAAAAATAAGAGATTAAGAGTTAATCCTCATGCTAAACACTATTTCTTAAGTTAGGCTATATGATTACTCATATGTCTGCATTTCCTCCTCCATACCAAGGTCATAGCTTCCATGTAAACAGTGACTAGTCAGACAGGACTGATAACATTCATAGCACACTAAGCATTTGCTTGTTCGTATTCTCACATTATTAATAAAATGATGAGATGAGTTTTACTCTAGTAACATTTTAATAGGTAATTTTATTATGCAAAAGTATGTATGCTCTCTGGTTCTGAAATATTTAAAAATTGTGATAAAGAGGTACCTTTGATTTGCTGAATAGAAATAAAAGAAAAATGCTGTAAGTATAAATCATAAGAAAATGCTGAAGTGTAAGTAAACAAATGCATATTAGCATTCCATAGGTCTGTTTCCTTCTCATAGTATTTGAGCCCATTAATTTGACTTCTAAATTGTTGTATTGGTTTCTCTCTCTTAATTCCTACAAGTACTGCATTTATTAAAATATCACTATTATTAATTTATAAAATTAATAATAAAATAGGTTTTATCATTTGGATTTAGTTTTTCTATCAAAATTTCCATTCTTCTGTATAGTATATACTGAAAGAATATATTTTCAGTATATATTTCAATGTATACAACAATAATTTTAAGAAAAATTGCTCATCACTTATGAATTTATCTTTAGTCATCAATTTGATTTTTAAAAAGATTATGTATTTTTTTACTTAAAAGATTTATACAACTGCATAATTCTTTTGAAATAAATATTAGGAGATAGTCTTTAGATAATGTAACCCTCACCTAGAACATGTAATTTCTAACAGTCATCAAGAAGAAAATAATAGACAAAAATAGTTAGTGTGGATTTTCTTACCCCTAAAACCTGAAGACTGTTACACAATCAACAACTTAAGATTCAATATTAAGAATCATTGCTAGGTGCAGTGGCATCCACCTGTAGGGTCAGCTATTCAGGAGGCTAAAGTGGCAGGATCCTTGAGTTTAGGAGTTCAAGACCAGCTCAGCTATGCCTTAGAGCAAGACACTGGCTCAAAAAAAGAAAGTAAGGAGATGCCATCTTCCAGTAATTCACCAAAATGACAAACACAAAGGGAAAGAGGAGAGGCCCCCATACGTGTTCTCTAGGCCTTTTAGAAAACACAGAGTTGTTCCTTTGGCCACATAGATGCGAATCTTCAAGAAAGATGATGTTGTGGACATCAAGGGAATGAGTCCTGTTCCAAATGGCAGGTCACACAGATGTCACCATGGCAAAACTGGAAGAGCCTACGTCACCCAGCATGCTGTTGGCATTGTTATAAACACACAAGTTAAGGGCAAGATTCTTACCAAGAGGATTAATGTTTGTATTGAGCATATTAAGCTCTTTAAGAGCCAAGATAGCTTCTGGAAACATGTGAAGGAAAATGATCAGAAAAAGAAGGAAGCCAAAGAGAAAGGTGCCTGGGTTCAACTGAAGCGCCAGTCTGCCCCACCCGGAGAAGCCCACTTTGTGAGAACCAACGGAAAGGAGCCTGAGTTCCTGGAACCCATTCCCTATGAATTCATGGCATAACAAGCATATACCATAGCACACAGGAGAACCAATGGAACCGTGATATTAGGTGCTGGAATCTACTTATTCCCCATGAATTCATGGCATATTAGTCATACAAAGCCTTGTCACATTCAAAGGCACGCCATCTCCCTGAGCTACTGGAACCTTTCCCCTGTGAATTCACGGCATAGTAGGTATTAAAAATAAATGGCCAATATTATAAAAATTTAAAAAGAATTATTAATTTGCAAGCCATTGTATCTACAGATGAAAGATTTCTTAGAGTGTTTTGGTAGGGATAGTAAAGGTAGAAAGCAATGTATCTATTCCACAATTTATTTTTCATCATCTATTGATACTTATTTATATGGAGAGTAAATGTGATTTTTTTATTCTTTCAGAAGATCTACTTTCGTGGCAATAATTACTCAGTGTGTGTGTGTGTGTGTGTGTGTGTGTACGTGCACATTCTTGATGGTGGACGGACAATTTGTGCTGGAGAAATACAAATGAACCCCTTTAAGTGGACCCTGAGCTAGACTATAAAATGTGGTGTTTTCTCCCCCAGTCTTTGAGACTCCTTAAGACTTTTCTTTCCTAATGTCAGTGTTGTGGTCTTGCAGGGTCCACTGAGGATATTTCACAACCTGAAAGATGTGGGATTTCTCCAAGTGAAAGTCATCAGAGCAGAAGGGCTGATGGCTGCTGATGTAACGGGTAAGTAATGACACAGCTCTCCTGGCCCACATATCAAGCAGCATGCAAGGTCCACAACCTTTAATAATCCAACTCTGCATGTCACCTGACTGGATCTTCAAAGGAAATAGTTTAAATATAAAGATTCAGGGTTCATTTTACAGGGATTTGCCAACCCCCTGACTTGTGTATTGGCTGTACTTTTAAAGGCAGGGTAATATATTAAAAGTAATTAATGCAAGGCAAAATAACATTCGAATTGTTGCCTTCTGCAAAGTTTAATCACAGTAATGGGAATCTATTTCCCAGGTGTTGCCACTGTTCTCAGGTGCCAGGGCAATCACGTGTAGCCTTCCGCCAGTTACAGCATCAGCTTCTCTTGCAGCGGCAACACTTGTGATGCAAACCTGCATTAAATCCATTGCATGGTTCACTGAGAAGTTTAGGTGTGTAAATACTAAAAACCTGGGCTTGAACTCTCGGCATTTGGTCAGTATGCTGAACTGATTTCTTAGTTTTCTAAATTCTTCAGCATATCCCAGAGATAATTCTGGATCTGAGTTAAACATCTAGATTGGAATTTTTTAAACTAGGAAACAGGCCTATAAAAATGCCCCCCAGAACTTCCTGATTTGGGTATTCCTGGTTTTTTGTCATATTAACAAATGGGCTCATGGTAATTATTTCATCAATTTCCTGAATTAAATTATTTTTTGATTTACAACTATTTGACTATTTATGATTCCATTTTATAAGGATTTGGGGGATATTTGTGCCATACCTTAAATTCACATCTTAAATTGCACAATAAATAGGACTGTCTTGACCAATTTTTGTGTAAATCTCACTGTTCTGAAGACATCCATGTACTGTTTGTGGACATTACAGCGTGAGTGTTGAGCAGGATGACCCTAAAGAGGCAACAGACTGTTTGAAAAGAAAAAACGTGCTTTTCCTCCCATCCAAGGCTCTGCAAGTCACTGTGTCCTTCCTTCAATAATTCACTCAACAGGATCAAAACCAAATTAAAAGAGTAGTAGGCTTTGTTCCAGAAGCTACAATATTTAAAAATTTTATTGTTTACATAGTATCAAATGATTACTTATCCTGTGATAAAAATAAAAATGGTAGGAGTTTACATTTTCTTTAAAAAGGTAATTATCAACTCATTTGTAACTGAGAAGATGATAACAACTGTCATTTTTTTTTTTTTTTTTTCAGTTTTGGCTGGGACTGGGTTTGAACCCATCACCTCCAGCATATGGGGCCAGCACCATACTTCTTTGAGCCATAGGCACCACCCGTCATTTTTTTTTTTTTTAATTGGCATACCTGAAAATAGTAGGAGAGAAGGTAGTTTGTCTTTGCATATGTACTGACTTGGCTCCTTATACTAAACAATTAATGAGTATTAATTTTATTTTCTTTTTTATGAATTTTATTTCTGGTATAGTTTTAATCACATTAATCTGGGTACAACAATTTCTTATAGAAAAATTCAAGTACCATTTACTTCAAAAGTTTAGATACCTGCCTATTATGTAATTCAATACAATTATATAAATTTGTCTTCTCTTGGAGAGAAACTGTCAATTGGTTTTAAAACTTCATGAATATGCAAACTACATTAACCTAGTGGCCTGTATGCCACTGTGGAAGTTAAAGTACATGTTCTTTCAAAACTGAAAAAAATAGAGGTATTTCTTTCCTAATGGTTTTATGTAAATTGATGGGAATAACAATGGCCTTTTCCCTAGTGATTCAATGAGACATAATTTTGACTTGATAAATGAACATTAATTTGGAGAATACTAAATGACAGAGTCTCCATTTTTTCCCTCCAGTTTTAGGGATATAAATCTAGTGATTCCTCATTCCATGCTGACCTTATAATCTAATGTGCTCTGAATTGAAGGAGAGAGATGTTGAACTATTCAGGAGCAAGAGGATAACTCAGTCTTTGACCTTCCTCACTCTTAGACCTTCTGTTGTCTTCATGATACTCATGATGGCGGCAAAGATTAAGAACCATATATCTAAGTCAGAAAAGTCTGAATATACGACCAATTTATAAAATAATCTTCCCTTCTGGAAAGGATAAATACTTAGATATACCCTGATGCTTCTTGATTTTTGACATTAAGTTTGAGGTACAAGTAAGCTCTCTGTCTACTTTCTTACTTGCTCAATGAAGAACTTTAAAGATACGATGTACATCTCAGGGGATAACAGCAGTCAAGCTCTACACGATGTTAAGCCATAGTTTGAAAGAGGAAATTGATGCTGTCTTCAAATCCTTAAATTAGCTTCCATTTAGGAGTGTTGCAGATAGAGAAGGGAGATTTTAAATCACTGATAACTCTGTGCTAAGGCAGCAATATTTTCTAATGTGGTACAAATGAAGTTGTTACTATGAGGTGCTTGGTTAGCTTCAGAACACTTTTTTCTAGAAAAGTGTAACAAGACACATTTTTATTTGACCAACTTAGCTCTATTTTTTAAATATTTTTAATGACCTGAACATAGAGTTAAACTTCCATTATTGAAGCAAAACTTTTTAAATTATAATATTTCATCATTAAACATGAGCACAAGAGAGAAACATTCTATAATCTTTTAAGTAGCCATCAATCTTACTGCAGTTACAAGGAATTTTTCCCTTTCAAAATGTAAAATTTTTCTTTTGTTACAACACATTCATTGAGAAACATTGTGATACTGTATTAACTCTGTGTGAATAAAGAGCAATTGAGACTCTCTTTGAATGAGTGAGTATAAAGCACAAATTACTTTTTAATGAAACCCTCAATTCTTTCCCTTTCCACAAGAAAAGCCTATAGCCTTGTTCAGCTGAACACTACTACAGTAGGTCTCTTCAGTTAAGCCCCTAATAAACTGTTGATAGTCGAGGGTAGTTTTTTCTTCCTTCTCAATAGCCTAGTGTTGGACAGTGCACTTCAAATCATTAAGGTTAATACAGATTTTAAATAGAGATTAACTCTGGTGGTTAAGGCCTTAATTTACAACTCCCACACATACACATGCATTGAGCAAGGCACAAGAGTGGATTGAAATTTCAGTCAAATTGTGGGCAGCCTTTCACAGCCTGAGAAAGTGGCACTCTGGTTTGGAAAGTTGGTCAGCTCAATTCTTCGTGAGGGGAAAAGTTTGAGTAACTGAAAAATTCCTCTTGGTACAACTTCTTTACCTTTCAACTAACCAGTGAGAAGGTTACTATATCTCTGCAGCATCAAAGCAAAACCTAGAGCCTGTCTGGCTGTGTTCATGGGGCAGATTCTCTCCACTGCTCTGTGCTCCCTTCAGACTGGACAGATCGTGAGGAAAGGCGAATGACTGGGGGATTTTTCTTTTCTTCTCTTTTCTTTTTTTTTTTTTTTTTGTATTAGGATTCTTGTTATAATTTGTCTTTTCTAGCTTCTGATTATTCTTTTCCTTGAGTGGGGCCTAATTTCTGCTTCAACAGAACATTTGAAGTCTTCTGTATTGAATGAGATTTCAATTTAGACCTGGCCTATTGGTTCTTTCAAGTTCCAAGAGAAGAAAGAGAAAAGAGCTCTTCTCTTCAGCCCCTCCCCTTCATTTTCCCCTGGGTAGTGTTTTTTATTCCCCCCTCTGAGGAAGAGGTCACAACCTCCCCAGGGAAACCAGCCACTGAGTTTCAGAAATAGTGATATGGGAGAACTGTGAAACCCTTCAAAAGATGCCCTACCTTTTCACTGCACTACAAGGCACACTGATAGAAAACTCTCCACCCCAGGTGAATTGATCTCTCAAATTAATGCACCATCTTTTTCAGAAAATGAGAGAGAGAGACAGAGACAGAGAGAGTGAATTTTACAATTAACAGACGGTGCCGCTGAAATTGTCCCATTAAATGAATGTATCTTTTTCTAAAGACTAGCGACACGCCAGCCCCAGAGTCTGGAAACCTACTAGTTATTAAGAGACATGTTTACTGCCCCTTTATTCGCATAGACTTTTCCCATGTTTTTCTTTCGGAAAACTGTCTTCATTGTTGGAAAATATTTAAGTAACAAAATAGCAGAAAAAGACATGCTACAGTTTTTTTTATCAGCTTCCGTGAGACTCTTATTATCTTAAGAAATAACAGTTAGCAGCTCAGATTCATTAGCAGAGCTAAATTTAAGCCCCGTTTGACAGGCTGCCTAGAAAACATTTTGTTTTGCTGTCTGTGGGCTTTAATTAAGATGTGTTCAATTTCAGTACTCTTGAGTCTAGCCCCCACCCCGACTTGCTGTGTCACAGACCGGCGATCAGACGCTCTTAGATGGTCCGGCCCATGACTTTGACCTTCTGCGCGGTCTGGCGTTCCCTGGGGAACCGTTCAGCTCATGAGGTCTGATTTCACACTTCCAGGATGCCTCGGCTCTCTTAACAATGACAGGGAGACAAAGCCCTTTAGAGCAGGCCGCTTGGGGACTTGTTTAAATTGGAAACCAGAGAGGAGTCAAGGAACAAGGTTATGGGCTACAGAATAGTGCTTTTAATAAAGAGCTCACAGCCCGGCTGGCTCAAAGAGGTCTACCTCTGTACAATTAATTGAGCCATTTATCTGGAGCATCTTAGGCCTCTACTTTCTCACAGACTTGCGTGGTAAATATCAGCTAAGAAGCAAATGAGATATGCATGAAATGAATTTTAACACTTTGATTACTGCACCTCCAGTCTTCATTAAAAGTAAATTTATTTGTATTTCTGACCTCATTACCAGTAGGTTGCCTGCATTTTTATTGGCTCCTGTGATTTCCAACTTGAGTGTGTCATGAAGGTATATTTTATGCAGAGATTTGGATTTATTATTCTTGGTATTTTTCCTGAACATTATGGGCCTATTCAGAGAAAGAAAATAAAAAGGCAACTATATGGGAAGGGCAAGTCTGTTCTTTGAAAGTTTTACGTATGATTGAAGAAATACCAAGCACATACACATAACATAGACCAGATATTGTCCTTTAGAGAAATTAGCTTTTTGTGGGTTA